CCCGCCCCGCCCCTTCCTGGGCAGCTCCCGCCGCGGGGGGCGGGACCGGGATTCACGGGGCGTCCCCCCCCCTTTTCCCGAGCCGCGACACCCCCGGGGATGCTCCGCCACTGTCACCTCCCACCTCGCCTTTTATTGCCAAAAAAACACCCCGAATTTCAGAAAACGCCGGGTTTTAGAAGCGGGGGGGGCGGGGCATGAAAATCCCTTCGTTTTCCCGTTTTTCACCTTCTGGATAAACTTGGCGGGTAAACACACAGAATTAGGGAATTTGGCTTCTCCTCCCCAAAAAGGCTTTTACAGAAACCAGCCCCCCCCGGTTAAATACAAAAATAGGGGAAATTTGGTTGCGAGCGGGCAGGGGATTTATGGATTTTGTCCTGAATTCCAAAGGAAAAAAGGGAAAGGTGATGGCAGTTCCAAAGGAAAAAAGGGAATGGTGATGGCAGCAAAAGGGTAAAAATAACGCCCCCCCCCGCTGGGAAAACACAGCCAGGGTTTGGCCACGCACTGCGGGGTGAAAAGGGAGGGAGCCAGATCCCCGTGGGGCAGACGTGGAATTCCACATCTTCCCAAATCTCCCATCCAGGATGGAAACGCCCGCCCCCCCCACCCCCAAAACGCAGGATTTCAGGACAAAAACCACAGGCGAGGAGTCGCTTTCTTCGCTATCCGCCTTTATTGGTGGGGATTTGGGGTGTTCCCGGGAAGCATCCGGGCTCATTTCACTTTCCTCTCCAGGGCCAGGCTGTCGTGGAGCTTGGATACCTCCGGCTCGTACGCCTCCATGACCAAGGTCCCGTTGGCATCGAAGAATTTGGCAATGGATTTGGTGAACTCGGCTTCCCTCTGCTGCCTGGTTTTCCCGCTGATGAAAGTCAGCTTCAGGGTGTACTTGTCATCGAACCTGCGGAGAGACGCCGGGGCGGGATTCGTTAAGCCGGCCTGAGCCGAGACTCCGTGGAGAAGGCGAGGAGAAATCCTCCTCTCCATGGAGAAGCCCAGGAGAAATGCCCCTCTACGTGGAAACGCCGTGGAGAAATGTCCCTCTCTGCGGAAACACCAAGGAGAAATCCTCCTCTCCACGGAAAAGCCAAGGAGAAATTCCCCTCTCCGTGGAAAAGCCAAGGAGAAAATCCCCTCTCTGCGGAAACACCAAGGAGAAATCCTCCTCTCCATGGAAAAGCCAAGGAGAAATCCCCCTCTCCGCGGAAACATTGAGGAAAAATATCCCTCTCCGCAGAGAAGCCAAGGAGAAATCCTCCTCTTCGTGGAAAAGCTGAGGAGAAATCCTCCATTCCACGGAAAAGCCGAGGAGAAATCCCCCTCTCCATGGAAAAGCCCAGGAGAAATCCCCCTCTCCGCGTAAAAGGCGAGGACAAATCCCACTCTCCATGGAAAAGCCGAGGAGAAATCCCCCTCTCCATGGAAATGCTGAGGAGAAATCCTCCTTTCCATGGAAAAGCCCAGGAGAAATCCCCCTCTCCGCGGAAACATCGAGGAAAAATATCCCTCTCCGCAGAGAAGCCAAGGAGAAATCCTCCTCTTCGTGGAAAAGCTGAGGAGAAATCCTCCATTCCACGGAAAAGCCGAGGAGAAATCCCCCTCTCCATGGAAAAGCCTGAAACGCCCAGGAGAAATCCCCCTCTCCGCGGAAAAGGCGAGGAGAAATCCTCCTCTCCATGGAAAAGCCAAGGAGAAATCCCCCTCTCCATGGAAAAGCCGAGGAGAAATCCCCCTCTCCGCGAAGCCCGCAGGAGCGGAGGCGCCCACCAGGCCCGGAGCGGCCGCAAGGGACGGGCGTTAATTCCAACTTCATTAAACGCCTCGGGATTAACTCCCAGCCCGCGATTGGCGGCGGATAACCGTTCCCGCTCCTAGGCCGGGCCATCCGACTGGACCGAGCCCCACACGGATTTGTAGGTGGGAAAAAAACAAGTATTTAGGGTGACGCCGGAGAGCTACGGGGACGGATGTGGATTTCCAAGAGCGGATGCGCCGGGTGCCGCAGGAGCGTTCCCAAGGGTACCGTTTGAGGCTGGAGGAGAGCTGCCAGACGTCGTCGGGATCCATCCCGGCGGGATCTTTCCTGTGAGCTACCAGGAAGATGCTCTTCTCCTTGTAGGAGGTATAGATAGTCAGGATCCCCATCATCATGAAGTACGTGCGGGAGTACGTTAAGGAAACACGGTTGGAAGTAGGAATTCGGCAGAGAAAATTCCTCGGATCCCC